TAATATTTGCTGCCTTCCATATTGAGGGAACAAATCCTTCACGAACTGATGAATTAGAAATAGAACACAAAGGTCGACACAACACTGAAGCGTTTTCCCGGAGAAGCCAAGAAGGAATTTCATCGGGACCAGCAGATGAATGAAGTTTAGATGATAATAGGGCCTTTTCAGTCTCCTCGACAGAGATGCAGAAATCATCTGGAATGTCATTTGTGGGAAGGGGGAGCCAGTTTAGATTGGGTAAGGAGGGCCCTACAGCAACGAACTTGTCGTTGAGCAAATTTGCTAAATCGGCATCAGAGTAGGATTTACCTTGGAACATCATTGTAGATACATTCTTAGAAGACTGAAGACCGGCAATATTCTTCACCGCTGACCACCATTTACGAGAATCGGACTGTTGAACGCCCGCGATACTTTTATTGTAGTAATTTAGTCGTGCTTTTTTGCAAAGTGCATTGACTTTGTTTCGATAGAATCTGAACATCAGGTTATTGCCAGCCGCCCATGCTGTTTGCCGCTTGGAAATAAGAGATTTTATTTCGGAAGTAATCCAAGGCTTGTCACTAGAATCAATTTTGATTTGTTTTCAAGGCAAATGTTCGTTTATGATATTATCAACGATGGTGGAAAAATACTGGAACTGCTCGTCACAAGATTCCATATGGTGCAAAGGTAACCAATTAACTTTCGACAGATGATCGCTAACAATTCGACGATTGGTTGGGCGAGAGTCTCGTACTAAACGTGTAGACCTTGTGCCACCATAAGAGTTAGCTGGAAGAGGTTTAAGAACGATGGAATTATGATCGGAATGTCCAATTGGAGAAATTACCAGGGCAGAAGTATAAAATTTAGAAATGTTGGTAAATATTTTATCTAAAATATTCTTTCCTCTAGTAGCGTCTTTGACTAACTGCTTGAGGTTAAAGGAACTGCATAACTGGCGATGTTTAAATTGGTTAAAATCTCCGGCAAAAATAATTCCTGCACCGGGATTGGTGGAAAGGACAGAATCGATTGATTCGGTAAGGTGTGAAAGAAGGGCTTTATCGTCACTTCCAGGTGGATGGTACACGATTCCCAATACAATTGAATTTAAACCACGAGGCAAGCGGTGAGGTTTTAAGAGTAACCAAAGCGACTCATATTCGTGACTTTCAATCTCTTTAAGATGAATGAACGGAAGCATGTCCTTTACAAAGACACAGACTCCACCTCCTCGTCTGCCGTCGGAACGATCATGCCTCAGTAGGGAATAACCGCATAAATCTATTGCTGAATTAGGAACATTTGAAGAAAGCCACGTTTCGGTAACAACGACAATGTCTGATGTATAGGATTTTACTGTAGCAGACAGTTCGTCAATCTTGCTGATCAGCGATCTTGAATTAGAAACAAATAAATTCGGTAGAGAAGAGAGTAAGGGCGTTTTTTTGGTTTGGTGGCCACTAATATAAATTAAGTTATTTCTACGGTTGAAACTTTTCCCTGGTACTGGAACCGATTGATGCTGTAGTGTTCTTAATTGACTAGGTTTTGCATTTATTTTTCTTTGAAAGTTTGATACGCGATGGGTTATTCTCACAGGAATTTTTTGAACAAGAAGTTCAACGAGAATCGAACTGTAATTTTCATGCGATTCTCTCTCATTGTTGTTGTACTTTTACATAATCATAAAGGGCTAAAGAACATTTCAACCAAGTTTCATCAAGTTGTGAGACAGTGCAGTGTATTTTACCTTCGATATTGTGTCCTTCGATGTTTCGTCAAATTGCCGCCATTTTAATGGCTCGCCACTTCTATGTCCGATAAATGCCACTTCTTCGTTTTCATATGTATTCAGATTACAGTGTCCAAGAGTACTTCATTGTAGAATAGTCCCAATCGAAAAATTGACAATACTTGTCCCATTTGGAAGGAAAAACCCTAGCCTCCTACAATGAAGTACTCTTGGATATTGTAATCTAAATACATATGAAAACGAAGAAGTGGCATTTATCGGACAGAGAAGCGGCAAGCCATTAAAATGGCGGCAATTTGGCGAAATATCGAAGGACACAATATCGAAAGTAAAAAGGCATATAGTTTCAGTAAAAATGTACATGCTCTTTTCATGAATATGGTAGCAGAGAAGCTTTGGAATAAAAACTTTTATGCCTGGCGTTTTGGCTTTGCCTTTGCCAAGTTGCTCCTGACAACGACAGGTTCATGTTCAGATCCGATCAAAAACATATAAAAACTAGAGGGCACTCAGAGACTGCATACCTCCGCCTACGCGCAAAATATTGAAGTAATCTATTGTTATTAGAATTTGAGTGGCTGGTGCATATATTATGCACGTCCTAATTACGCATTCAGTATAAAGTTTTATTTAATTGACCGGGAAAAGCAAGACAAACTTTTGTTATTTCTCATTCAATTTTTAACCAAATTCAACCAAATTTTAATCAGTTCTTCCGTAGCCGATGGGAAATGCACTCACAAAATTTCGTACGGATATGTTTGGTATTTCTTGAGTTATCGTGCTCACAGACAAACACACACACATACACACACACACACATACACACACACATACACACACACATACACACACACATACACACACACACACACACACACACACACACACACACACACATACACACACACACACACACACATACAAACCCAGATGATTACATAACCTCCTGGCGGAGGTAATGAATCTGTTTTGATTTAATTAACGTGTTTCTACTAAAAGGACAATGGAAAAGGTATGCCATTTTTATATTTTTGTATTTTTTCTTGTCGTTTCACGATAATATGTTTGAACAACGTGTTTTTAAAAACAAACTTTTACTTTGTTTACAATATTTATATCAGTGAAATATACATGACACAAATGGGTAGAGAATATATTCGTGACTTGCTTTTACTGTTGCAGTTAAACCTTCTTTATAAATGGGAAAACATTTATTTTACAATATCTGTTTAAGGCGCAATTTTTTCGCTTTTCAGCGGTCGAATACATGAGCATTTAAAAAATATATAGTTTTCTCGACGTAAGTTTTATACATGTCAAATACTTTCTGACTTCCAGTCGCATTTCCATTAAAATATTGGCAATTCTTGTGAACATCGTGCTTAGTATGAAGCCTTTAGGGTTTGATGCAATTTATTTTCGTATTCTGACTATCATTAGGCTGTGTTTTTCAAACGTTTTTGGCAGATTTTTTCGTTTAAAAATTGTTTCACTCCCCAGTTTTTCCGCGAAAACCAGAGCGGGCAGTTGCATTTCACAGCGGGCAGTTGCGTTTCAGAGCGGGCCGGATGCAAAAAACGGTCCCGCTCTGAAAGGCCCCTCAGCCAATCAGATTGCTTGATTTTCACTGATAAAAAATAAACAAAATTATGTCTGCGATGTTACTCTGAGTGCACATCCACACCGGGCGAGCCCGAAAAACATGCCCGGCCACGGTGGGATTCGAACCTACGACCTTTGGAATACTAGCCCAATGCTCTTCCAACTGAGCTACGCGGTCAGGACGGTTCGAGTAAGTGATATTTCGGAACAGTATCTAGTTACTTCAATACCAATGTGTTCTAGTAATATGAATTTTTTCTGTGTTCGTGTTGTGTACTCGGGCGAGCCCGAGCCTGGGCTAGTATTCCAAAGGTCGTAGGTTCGAATCCCACCGTGGCCGGGCATGTTTTTCGGGCTCCCCCGGTGTGGATGTGCACTCAGAGTAACATCGCAGACAAATTATTCACCTGAGTACACAACACCAACACAGAAAAAATTCATATTACTAGAACACATTGGTGTTGAAGGACTAGATACTGTTCCGAAATATCACTTACTCGAACCGTCCTGACCGCGTAGCTCAGTTGGTAGAGCATTGGGCTAGTATTCCAAAGGTCGTAGGTTCGAATCCTACCGTGGCCGGGCATGTTTTTCGGGCTCGCCCGGTGTGGATGTGCACTCAGAGTAACATCGCAGACATATTATTCACCTGAGTACACAACACCAACACAGAAAAAATTCACATTACTAGAACACATTGGTATTGAAGGAACTAGATACTGTTCTGAAATATCACTTACTCGAACCGTCCTGACCGCGTAGC